GAGAGAAAAATGCTTAGGCAGAAAGAATATTGCAATATTTTGCTGGTTGGTGAGGAACAAAAGAGAATATGATACAGGATTTCTTATGGAAAACAGTCCAAGTTTCTCTCTGTCCAGTGTAGCAAAAGCAGGTCTCTGTTAAAGACTTGCTATGAGACACGCCAGCCTTTCATTTCATGGTACATAACTGGCCATCTCTGAGCCACTGCTTTCAGGGCAACTTCATCTTGCTATGAAAACACGTCTATGTTAATATGTACTTGCATGGATTGTACGAATCAGAGAATAGATTATTTTTTTTTCTGATGCAATAATTGGACCAATATGGTTTTTATGTATTAAAGTGCATTGTCCAGTACAGTCGTGCATGGATGCTGGGAAGACCCAGTGTGGTATACATTTTGTTTCACCCCTATCACAGAAAATACAATGCCAGAGCTGAGATCAGTAAAACTTTTGATTTTATTTGTGTATAGCTCTGACTAACACATACAAATAATGCTTTAAATAATTTCCATTTGCAACTGTGCTTTTGCTGTAGATGACCTGCCTAGCACTCACAGTGAGAAGCCAGTAGAAAATGTACTTGTGCAAGGGTGATCCTTCACCTTGTGTTGACTTTGGGTTGCCTTTAGTCTAAAGGACACCATGTGCAGCAGCTTTCTGCTTGCTTTAAAGAAGAGACTCTGGTGAGAAGGAGCAACTTCTCTGTAGAAACTGCAGGCAGTACTTAATATAGGAAAACAAAACTGCTCATATTAGAATTATATTTGCTCTTGCTAAATATTGCACTGTTAGAGTTAGATGGCCCTGTGATAGGAGCATCTACCCACATGGCATAGTAGTTATTTGCTACTTGTATTTAATATCCATGCTGAAGTAAAACCATTGTGAAAGTACATGTTTGCTGCCAAAATGATTTTAAAAGAAAAAAAAAATCAGCTCATTATACTGATAGAAATTCCTAGCTAGGTGCCATTTCAGGAAGACCTTCTGAAGCTGTAGATTTTTCTTTACAGAAGCATCTATATCTGTAGACAAAACACTTTTTTTGCACTTGTTTGTACTTGTAATTAATTGGAAATGAGGGAGGGTAAAGAAGAGAGACTGTGATTTCAGAAAGCAACTAAGTCAAGTATTTCTGTTCTGACCAATGAGCAGAACTTAAGTGGTTAAACTCTTCAAGAAGCCCCGTCTGCCTCAGTGAATTACAAAGATCCAGCTCTGTTCTCACATGTCCATTGAAAAATATAGAGTAAATATGAGCTCCTTACTGCACACTGAGAAACAGCAGCACTTGTTCCATCAGCTTGATTTTATATTCTTTATTTTGGTGCCAAATACTGAAACTATGCATATTTTTCTGTCACCCAAGCGCTTATGTTCAGTTTCAGACTGCAGTGTGAGACTACCCATCTGCAAATATGATTTGCACATCACAGAGCATGTATGAAAACGTGCAGGCTTTCAAAATCTGTCTCCAGATGTTAACTGTAAAAAAAAAAAAAAAAAAAAAATTCCAAAATTTTTGCTTGTAAAGTTCATGTCTAAAAAGCTGATTGTGGTAATCAACTAGATATTAGATACATGTAACAAGGCCTCGTCTAAAAAAGAACCTGAGTATGTTCTTAATTTTAAGCAGACACAAAATCTCACTGCAGTGGGAATGACCTTGTTTAACATTAGTAGCATATTAACTGCCTTGCTCCGTAATTTGTTAATCTGATACATGTGATCTTTTTATATTTAATATTTAGAAGTATGTTAATATTTAGAAGAACATTAAAATACTGGGTTAGAGAAAGCTATTCCATTCAGTCTCTAATAATTAAATGCCTTTTTAAAATTTCATTTGTTTTCCTAACTTAATTAGTAGAGACACTTCAAAACAAAGGAAAAAGTATGTTATTTTTGTGCACTACTTTATGTATCAGTGAGTAAATCAGAGTCGATGCCATGAGCTAATTTAAAATATTACTTCAGTTGAAGTAAAACATCTCAGTAAGCTGAGGAAAAATCTCAGATGGATCTTCTAATAAAAACACATAAAATCAGATAAGTCACTTCGCTTTTATTTGTGTTTGTTTATTTCTCATGTTTTTATGGAAATAGAGTCTTTCTCTCCTTATCTCCCAGGCAATATTGCTTAGAGTTTACTCAGTGGGACCCGTCACTGATAAAGCATAAATCAGCAGCTCCTAAAGCAAGAAACAGATGCTAAAGCCAGGCTAGTGATCCCTCAGTAGCAACAGTGACACGAGATACTGTCTTGGTTTGTTGTATGGGAGATGTGTGGTAAGATAAAGAAAAAAAATCTCTTTTGGACATGGGAGAGAACACTGTGGCCTTTCCCAAAGGGCTGCTGGGCTAAAATCTTTGACTGCCAACAAATGAGCAATCATTAGGTTGGCTGGTCCACAGCCTGTCACATAGGGGTTGTTTCTCTCAGCTAAAAGATGCAGTGCTCCCTCCTGCAAAGTGGGTGCTGAGAGGGAGGGAGGAGGGTAGAATCAAATGTGCCCTGATTCCGATCTGTTTATTGACACCATGAAGAACATGGGAAAAATAAAGTGTTGCTGCAAGCACTTATTTAGAAGCTATGATGTCTGCAGATGCATTTCTTTTTGTCCTTGTATTGTTGAAGGCAAGTTTTGATTAGCCATGCATTAAATCACAAATGACTGGCAGAAGATGATGCCTACAATTTTGAGTGAAAACAGAGGACGATGTTCTTGGTCTGATACTTGTGCAGTGAGGCCAGATGTTAAGACTACTGTGAATCAGAGAAACATATGAGACTGTCATTTGTGTAGCTTACTGGAAGCTCCCTGTACTGCCGATGAGTCAAATACAGGAGAGGAGATTTGAATGCAGCAGAACTTGTCTCAGCTTCGTAGGCTGTGTTAGGCTGAACAACAGTCAGGTTTAGGCTGGACATTTTCTGTCCATTTTCTAGACAGTATTTTTCATTAATTCAAAAGTAGTTTGAAATTGAATATGTACATTCTCCAACAGCTTAATTTTATTAGTAAGCTTGTGGTTAGATAGTCCATTTGTTATCAGCACTTCAGGACAGTCATTGCTGGCTGGCTGTCACTTCCTCTCTCCCCAGCCCAATTAGTTCTGATCTACTGGAGATGCTGCAGGGATCCTGCTACCTTCCTGTGTTCTGGGAGCAGTGATTGAGTGTAACAAGGATGGAGGGCTTTGGGGAAGAGGGGATATTTTATATTTGTCAGTATTGTCGTTATGTTGCTCCAACTGTCGTTGAAATGGAGAAGGAAGGCTGGTGGATTTCAGGATGCAAATATGTAATGATATGTGTTAAAGGTGATAGCTGAGTATTGAAACAGAATAATATCGCCTGCAAAGCTGCTTAACTGAAATGCTGTCCATTACTTACCTCTCTGCCCCCATCCTCTTGTTTATGTCTTTTCCAGCAGCTGCAGTTTTGGTTTTTTTTTTTGTCCCTAGAATTCTCTTCTGGGGCAAATTGTAGCCTCCTACCTCTGGGGCCATCTGCAGATTTCCCTAGGCTGCTATTACATGAATAATGAGATGTCTCACTTAAGAAATTCTCTTCATTCTACATCATTAAATACTGACTCCTGCTGCTGCTATGACAGATCACTTTACAGGAATCTACAAGGGGAGCTGTCTTTGATGCTAACAGTGGGTCTTTGCTGTGGAACAAAAGAATATGCTGGGGCAAGCATGAAACAGAATTTATAATATTTTAACACTGGGAAATAAAAGAGGCTGAAGCTGGTGTATGTATACCTATTTTGACATCTGTACTTTTAAAAAGTGAAGAAGGGTCTTTAAAACAGGGTTGAGCAATTTTGTGTCCAAGAATATAAGTTGTAGCTCTCATCAAGGCAGTGGTGAGACAGTAGTTTGGCAAGGGGAGGGGGAAGATACAGTGAGCTAGGAGGGAATACAAAACAAGACCAGCTTGTTATAGGCAGACTGTAGAAAAGAGGAAAATGCTTACATCTGAAGCATGAGTGATAGCATTTAGTAAAGGTACAGTAATGGACTAAATGACCTGAAGGTTTCTTCTTCCACCATAGCCTTTTTGTTATGAAGTTCTTTCCCACATATCTCCCTGACCTCTGCAGCTCACTGCTAACTCTGTGTATTGGTTACTCAAGAGCATCACCTCTAACAGATAACTTTGTGAAATGTTTTGCTGCCACTCTTCATAAACCAGACATATGCCCAGTAGCTCCCTCTTTGCCTCTGGCTGTATCCAAGTGCCCCGTAGTCAGCAGCTTAAACTGATTTTCCGGTACCTTTTCCTGTCTACTCTTGATGTGCATGGTAATGGTATGTTTTCAAAACTTCCCGCTTTCTTTGTGCATGTTAAAAGAACACTTAAATGGATAAATCTTATGCCTATTTACATGTGCAAATAGGTTTGAAACCGTGACTACTCGCTAGCCTCTGTTTTTATTCTGCAGTGCTTTTAAACAGCAGCCATTACATAGCAGTGCGACCTCCTTCGAAACAGACTGCAGTACTAGAGTGCTTCCTAGACCATGGCATGCCATCAGTTTGGCATGTGAAAACTTATGGTGTCCTGTGGCTGAAACATGCTCTTTTTGTCCTAACTGTTGTTTTCTGTCTTGAGACAAAATGCATCCTTTGTGTGTTAGTGTGTTTTATTTTAGCCTGGTTGTTCCAGTAGTGCTGTATCATTTGTAACAACACCTCTTGTCTGTTTTCACGTTTTGTAGATGGTATGGTGAGGGGATGCTCATGGCATGGCACCATGTGTTCACCTAAATGAGGGACTTACCAGTGGTGACTCTGCCTCATTGCTGATAGCAGAGAATGTTGTTGTTTCAAAAAAAAAAAAAAAAAAAAAAAGATTCCACTAGAGGGGAAAAAAAATTAAGTAGCTTTATTCAATGTGTATATTCCCTCACCTGAAAGCCCCTTGGCTAGCTTTTCTACCACACTGTCACAAACCCCATCAATGTCTTTAATTTCTTCAGAAGGAAGAAAGGATTTGCAGGTTAACCGGCTGGAAACGCAAATATGGATAAAACCAGACATACAGAAGACAGATGTGGACTTTTCAGAAATTCTTAATGCAATACAAGAAAGTAAGTTATTCCTTGGATGCAAAATCGGGTTTATGGTAGAAGAATCAATTGGGATGCACTGAAATTTTAACTGAAGGAACATACAAAGTGATGAACTGAATTATAAGTGAGTATGCATTACTAAAATCTCTGAGAAAGTTCAGTGGGTTATTGAAGGCCAGTAAGAAATCTTTTACTATCAGAGAAGTTGTAGTAAGATTTAAATTACTGCGTGCCTAAGGATTCCAGCAATACATGTTTCCTATGCAGAAGTAATCAGAAATACTATGACTCCTGTTACTTTAATCCATTCTTTACACTCTTGAATGGATGTGTGAACTAATAATGCCATCCAAGTGGTGCAGTCTGGGATCTAAGACTGGATTTGAAGTTCCAGCTGTTTCAAAGTGTGCAGATATATTCATGTTTTTGCAGTTGGTAATTTTTGGGAGCGTGATGAGCTTGTCACAATAACTGAAGGTCTGTATATCTTAGATACTGCATGAAACCATCTTTTTTCACATGTAATGTGCTGTGGACTAAGAATTGATTTGTCCACCCTTCTTAAATCCAACTGCAGAATGATCTTAAGATCTGTGCTAGAAGAAATACTATTCTTATTAACAGCAGCAGACCTCCCCCTACCCAAAACTGATGCAACTCTGGAATCCAAAAGAATCTGGAATTTCAGTGGAAATTTTCCATAATAGTTTAAAAACACTTATGCAGGCCAAGAATCAAGATGCATGGCATGGCTTCCGGTTTGTTTCTTTTCCAGTTATATTTTAAACTGGCTATTTTGTGTAGAAATTTTCTAAAGTGAGAAAGAGCAACTTACATTCTTGAATGACAAAAGATGTATAAGAATGTGTAAAACCCTGCACTCTACCTGATTTTTGCCATATGCCACCATACAGTGGTAGTAGGATCAGGTCGTTTAGTTGGTGGTATTAGTTTGGGGGTGGAAGGAAAACTCTCAGGTTAGCATGATGACAGGTAATGATTTGAGAGTGAAGCACCTCATTATGTAAGGTGTGGGTTTAGGATGAGCCCTGTGTTTTGTAACTTAAAAAGCTTTTCCCGTCAGGAAATCTTAATATGAGATTTTGCTTTCTTCCCTCTTTTCTGCACCTGCATGGCCCAGATATAGGCCTGGGGGCAGTTGGGTGGTGGACTGGAGAGGCTGAAAAGGCACTGTAGTCTTTCAGAGGCTGACTAGACAAGATAGATAAACAAGGATAAGCAAATTCAAGTTGGGAAGAGACCATATTGGAATACAAGAAACAATTATCTTCTCCATTTTAAGCACATGGCTGAGGAGAATGAAAATGGATTATTTCTTTAAAACAATTAGATATCAAGATTAGATTTATTAAGTGTCCAAAGCAGCTTCTTATTAAAATGGTCATATCTCAACTTCCCTTGGTACCGTGTCATATTTTAATATCATACTCTCTGATTATATCTCTGTGCTGAATAACTCAAAATTTTCATTCAGCAGGGCACAGGTTTGCTTATAACCTCAAATGTTAAACCCTAGTTTCTTTTAAAAGTATACCATTTCTCTGTGACCATAAAGAAGGCATTCATCTGACTTGAACAGAGGGGTTTCCAGTGAAGGTCTCGAGATCTGAGTTCATTGTCTAAGTTCCCTTGGCAATCAACAGCATATAACTAGCATGTCAACAGCTCAGTTGGTCTCATTTTCAAGTGGGTGTCTAATATAGATTAGATGACCTGCAACTTGGAAGTGGCTATTTGCCTGTTGCCTGCAAATGGAATTTAGAGAGATAACTTGAATCCCTACCACAGCTTAGACACAAAAATCTGCACTGTGGTTATATCATAGAAATCATAGAACAGTTTGGGTTGGAAGACACCTTAAAGATCATCTAGTTCCAGCCTCCCTCCCATGATCAGGGACACCTTTTACTAGATCAGGTTGCTCAAAAGTGTAAATGTATGTGAATCCTACCTTAAGTAAAACAAATATTTACAAGTGATTAATGAATGTAAATTGACTAGAAGTAGGCTCCCAGATTTTTTCTAGCAATTTGATTATAATTTCAAAACAAAATAGCATTAAACCAAGAGTCTTTTAAGAATTACCATTTTGATGTATAGATTATTTTTTAGTCATTTGAGAAGGATGCATCTTTTACAGCCTTGAAGCAAGTGTTTTTTCTTTATCCAGATCCATTTGCTATTGAGAAGTTAATCCTTACGCCCTTCAGCTACACTTTCTTCTGGAAGGACAAAAGTATTGCTATGACTGTATGACCCAGTTTGCAGAGGCTTGTTATGTGTCCAGGGGAGTGTCTTTGTCACCTGCAGTCTTCTGTGAATATCAAATAATTAGGATAAACATGCCTAAATAGTCTTTCTAGAGTGGTTGCTCTGAATGGTCATTGTTACTTTTATTCCCAGTTGTTAGCATTGAATGAAAATTTTAAAAGGCTAATGATGCTTTTAAAGGCCACTTTTTTCTTTTTTTTTTTTCCTTGATAACATGAGTTTCCTGAGTATTTTCCTATTCAGGAGGTGCCTTATGCAACTTTAGCTAGCTGGTATATCTGCCTGTGTGGTAGACTGCCAAGAGTGATCATTCAGTAGCAGAGATTTTTTTTGTTTTAATTTAGTTACTTAAAACAAGTATTTTGCTCTAAGACTTCCTTTTTTTTTTTTTTTTCCTTTTACCCTACTGAATATCTTAGACTGCAGTTGAAGATAAAGATTTACCATCTCGTTATTTATTTTTATGTGAATATACTATTTTAGGAGACTTAAAAGTAATTTCAACTTCATCAGAGCTAAATTCTGCATTTAAGTACCATAGTTCATGGTAGAGTCTTAAACACGTTTTTCTAAAGATTTCTGGTATGTCTTTTATAAAACAGTTTCTTCTTGAGCTCGTGATATTCAGAAATGATCAGTAGTCTATCAGAGACAGTCCAGAAACAATAATTGCTAATCTGAAAATGGCTTTAGGCATACACTATACAATAAGGGATTGAAAAACAGAGTGTTTCATCTGACCTAAACCAAATCTGTAAACTAGACAGAAGAGGTGTCAAGGATTTGCATGAACTATTTGTCAGATATAAAACAGAATTTTCTGTTGTTGCCTACTTACAGCCTGTACCCATGCCACAGCCCCAGCCAGGAGCAGATGGTGGGGCATGGGAGCAGCCCCAGCCCTGGTCATCAGGTACCTTCCTGGTGCAGGGGGTCTGTGGCCGGGCAGGGCAGGACTGTGGGGAGCTGGAGACCAGCCCTGCTGTGGCATCACTAGGGCAGGGGCTGACAGCCCTAGGGGGCTGAAATGGGGTCCTGGAACCTGGGCAGGGTGAGGGGAACCCCAGGGGTCCCAGCAGGGACAGTCAGGGCTGGGAGTGCCTTCTGCACCATGGCAAAAGCTAGCAAAGGCTTTCAAGGTTTTTTTCTAGTTATTACACTGAGAGGATGGACTTCTGTAGAAAAGCAGTAGAAAGTTTTATTTTAAAAAGGTGCCTCAGATTTCAAGCTTTTTTTCATTAATTCCTATAGTTTGTTTCAGTGTCTGAAACTTACTTTCATTGCCACTGCAGCAAAGTCAAAATTAAAAGAAATCTCTTCTTAGAATATTTTTCAAAATCCAGTTTACATTGACTTTCACTAGATTTAATAAAAATTAGTTTGATTCTCTCATTTTAGTTCTCATAATCTGGGAGCCAGAAATCAGTGAGTTTCCTGAAACAGGGTTGCTGATCCACTGTGTAGTTACTGAATTTAGCATTTAACGTGATAAAAAGTTCTGGGCTGTGTGGTATCTGTGGGATGGCCTCCTTGAAGCAAAGGTTTGTATATATTGTACCTGTGTGCAAGGTTTAATCCTTGCTGGGATCAGGGAGCACGTTGCCGTTGCCCCTCCCCAACCCGCGCTAGTCGGGCTGGAAGTTAAACACAGACCCCGGCTAAAATAACAAGAAATTTAATACAACAGAGTGATAGAACAATCTGAACAACAACAGTATCAATGGTCACAACAATAAACAGCAATAACAATGAACAAGGCAAAAGATATACAGAGAAATACCGCTAAATGATCACGGAGCAAACCCGCCAAGTGTATGGCAAAAACCAACACCAGAAGCGAAAGTGAAAAGGCTCCGCACCTGGACCTGATGCCAGCATGGTATGAATAACCCGGCTGGAGATCCCTTACCTTTCTCTCTGCTGGGGAAAACTTTACTCTAGCCTGACTGAACCAGGACATACCTGTTAGCCTTACTGAGTGCAGAAAAATGTTCCTATACAAAAATCTAGATAGATGCTAAAATCCATAACAGCTAGTACAACAGGATGCAGACAGATTGTTTGTTTTTCATATGTGAACTTTTCTGCTTTTCAAGTCTCTGCTAAACAGGTATTCTCTATTCAGCATTTTTTTTAAGGATTATTCTCCAGTATTGGTACTTTTAAACACAATCATTTTTTCCACCACCATTAACATTTGGAAATGCTCTACACCTATTATAAACATTGCTAGTAAGAATTTTTAAGGAACTTCACCTTTCAATGTTACTGAGAGGCCTAAAACTCCAAAGAGCAGTTTCTGGAATATTGATCTTTGGCTTACATTATCCAAAGCTAGAATATACTCAATGGTTTGATGTGACAATTGGTAATAAAATGACAACTAATTAACAGAAACATGATCTCTGAGCATGCTTCCATCCTTCCACACAAAAACATAGTCATGTAACATTTTTTAATGAAAATTCTTGGGTTTGGGCATCTCAGTTTTTGAGCATCCATATTCAGAAAGTTAAAGGAGTTACTTCCTTATCTTTGAGTGCTACCTAAATCAGCCCCTTGGTCCAAAGTGGTTTGTGGACCCACTGAGATTGTGCACGGATTCTCAATCAGAATTTCCCAGCATTCAGTTTTCAGAATATGTGGTTCTAATATATTTGGGATGAAAATATTTCTATATCCACATTTTTAAAAAAAAATCCTTAAGGGATTCTGAATTAACAAGT